TATTATTTATAATGATCTATGTTTTACATATTAAGTTTCTTATTTAAGTTATAAAATATATAAAGTAATACATAAATGACCAAATATCACAATATTGTTGTAAGTTTTTTAATATTAAAATTTTTATTTACTCCCAAAAATAAAATTCGATGTTGAACCTAATAAAAAAAAAATTAAAATGTATATAAACCTAAATTTTCTTAAAACTAAAATATATATTTGATTAAAAATTTAAATACGAATTGAACCATACTTTACCGTCTATATATATATGTTTTTAATTTAACATTTATTATTCATGAATCTAAAATTAAAAAACCTACAAAATCAAAACTGTAAGAAATTTGAATAAAACAATATAAAAAATTTTAACCATAAATGATAATTTTCTAATTTAAATGATTTAAATAAAATATTAGTCAGTGTAGAACGCGAGGGAGTCACCTAGTTAGTTAGAAAACAATAGAAAATGATAAATAAACCCCAAAAAAAGGAAAAATTGAAAATAAAGGATGTTTTTTTTGGATTTTGTTCATCTATACCTTTATTATTTAAGTTTGGTGATATATACTTTAATTTAGTTAAAATCATGTTATGCCCTTAATCATAAATATTAGATTTAATCATTAATTTACAACAATATTTATTGGCTTAGTTGGTTGATGAGTTAAAATTTTTTGATTGATGTCTCAAGTTCGAGGCTTTCTTATCTCTTTTGTTTTGATTCTTTTTTATTTAATTAATGAGAATATTTTTTTAAGACAAAAAGAACCAGAAGCAACCTCGTAAATCATGAACTCTAATTCGGTAATGAATCGTTAAGAAACTAACACAAATTGGTTTGCAATTTTGATTTATTCCTGAACCATAAAAAAAAGCAACACAAATTTGGTATTCTGTTTTATTAACAACATGTTGTTGTTAACGAAACAATAATAACAATCTTAATAATTTAGACATAGTTTTTGAAGTTTCACTAATTATTTCTTTTAAAACATTTTCTAATTATTTATGAAGGCCTTTCTCAATCATTATCCTTTTAAGAGATAGCTAATTGTGTTTACTCTATGTTTATTTACAAGTCTATTTTTATACTGCAGATCTTTAATCACATATACTTGGTATATGTACACTATGCATTAGTTAGATACATTTGATCATGTTCAAGCTCTAAACACATGAAGAAAAAGAAAATTCATCAGAAAAACGCTAGAGTATATAGAAGAGAAATCAACAATTTACTGAATTATGAAAAGCAGAATACGTATTCTAAATTTTGTAGAATGTAATCAAACAATATATTCAATTTTCTAAACTGCTAGATTCGTATAAAAGATTTAAATATTTAGTTTCCTTAATTTCCGGAATTCTACAATAATTTAGAACATGTACAATATTTTAGATCGCATAATCTGAATGTTTTATAACATGTATAAATGCAAAAAGTGTCTTCTGAATAAAGTAGAACACATTTTATAAATTTATCGCTTAACAAACAACAATTGCCCATTTCATAGAAACTCTTATTCCTTTATTCTTCACATGTTTCACAAAAAAAATTTGAAAAAAAAATAATTATTTAAATTTAAAAGGATAGTTTAGACATAAATATAAATTTTGAAATAAAGGTATAGATGGACAAACTAAAAAAACGTCATTTATTTCTAATTTTTCC